CGTATTTTTTTTTTATAAATAGATATTTTTTTAGTCAGTTTTCAGGGCGAAATGTTCTGACAGACTCGATTCAATAACGACAACCTGTAATGTAGTGTTAAAATGATTCGCCTTTATTCTTTGTCGGACAAAGAATAAAGGCGAATCATTTCGTTTTTGTTGAGTAAATGAGAGAAAATGCGGGCTACCTCTAACTAAATTTGTAATCCTATCTCAGGCGGTCTAAAATTACAGATATACATTACTAGTTTACGCGCAATTTTCAAAAGTTTCCAGTGCGCGCCCATCTTGTGGCTAGATCAAATCGTTGCGAATTTTACAGTCGAGAAAGGGAAAGAGAATTAGCAATAGAATGTCATCGGTGTTTAGCTGTGGTTTTTCTAGGGTGGCTGTCAAAGAAAGTTTTCATAAACCTGGCAGTGTGGCTTACGAGAGCAATCCCGCTCAGCGATGGGAAAACTACCACAAGTTGCTCGATGAATCGGCGCTCGAGAAATTGGCTGTGGCGAGGACACTGTTTGTGAAGAGGTCTAGAAGCGTCTATGATTTGTTTCGAAAAATGAACTCTCAGACCAGAAATGAGTACCTCCAGTACTTTTCTCTAAGAAACTGGAAGGCATTACCTGAAACACAAAAATCAGAGCACACGAGATCAAACTGTGATGCCTGCCAAGTTCATCACTTTGCCATGCAATCTATTTTTCCAAACGCTGCGCAGCTAAAGCCACAAAAGCTAGTTCGAGATGGTCTCGCTCTAAATGAAAGCAATGGGAACGTCAACATAAAGCCAACACAAAAGGCTATTAAATCAGCAACAAAGCATATTTATTCAAAAATAAATGTGTCATTTCAGAAAGTTTTTAAAGTCAGCTTTGCTGAAGCACAAACAAAAGTTAAGGAAATTAACCTCCAGAAGAAAAAAGATGGTATTGAAAAAAAACGGGAACGTCGAAAGAGAGCGCGCCATGAGAAAAACAAAATCCAGGCTGAGTGGTCCAAAAGAGATTGTGACGTGATGCTTGCAACGAGGCAGTCGTTTTCCCAGAGGTCAAAGCAAAGGAAGATGCTTCACTTCGAGTCAGCCACAGATGCTGCCATCAGGGTGCAAAAACGCAAGAACCAGGAAGATCTTGGCGAGAGAAAACGTAAGCAGCATTCGCCTCCAACAGCATCAGTTGAATTTGACAAAGAAAATCTTATGCAAGAAGTAAGAAACAAGAAAGATGGTGAAAAGGTAAGTTAACAATGAAAACAACAACAACAACAATAACAATAATAATAACAACAATAATAACAACGATGACAACAATAATCAAGGGGCATTTTATGCCTATCCCCTGCTTCCAAACCCCTTTCCTTTACATTCGACAAGTACAAAATGCAACTTTTTTTTGTTAATACCCCTTAAACTCATGAAAACAGTAAGGTCTGTAATAATCAGTCTACTTCCCCACTGCCATTATGTATCCAAATAATGTGATGTCTCCTCGATCTTTTAATCAATGTACTTTTAAAAATATTCCATAACTTAACAGATAAATTATTCAGACCTGGCAAGACGACATGGCCTTAAAGATCAGAAACTAGGAAACATGATCTTCAAGGATTACCTGATGGAACAGGGGGTGGATCTGCAACGCTTTCAGCAGTTCCGTAAGAGGCCAGCAAAAGCTAGACGAAAACTGAATCGCACGTATGGTGGAGAAGTAACTGTGCCAACACCTAGAACAAGCACACAAATCAAAGAAACACTGAAGGTTTGTTACATTGTTTTTTTTGTCTTATTTGAAATAACTCTTGGATATTCAATTGGTGTGTTTAAAAAAGTATGAATTTTTGAGAGGTATGAAATGAATAAAGTCAACATTATTGATCTATCGGTAATGTAACAGTAATAATAAAAAA